TAATGGAATATTTAAATATCCAACATTAAATAATAAATCACTTGATGACATCATCATGACGTAAATATTTACATATTATTTTCGCTTTGTGGTGAGTGCTTGGTGTAACTTTGATGATGACCAAATATTGCTAAGTTACCAAAATAGTGCCTCAAAAACGTGTACAAAGTCAATGGGCTGAAATAAGTATTGACAAATAAATAATAAATCACCTGATGACGTCATGTTTCTTGGACCATTTGTGCATAAGGGTTCTTTATTGGTACAAGTTTGATGATGATCCAAAGTTGCAAAAGCACTAGAGTCGTGGGTAGAAAAAAACATGAACAAAACAAACAGGCTTTAGAGCAAAAGAAGAAGGAAAAAAAGAACAAAACGAATGCTTTTTTGCAAAATTGCAAAAAAGCCAAAAATCAGAAAAGCAATACCTGTTTTGGCAGGGTTGCCGAAACAGCTGAAAAAAAAAAAGAAAAAAAAAATTAATCAGAAAAGCAACAGCTGTTTCGGCAAGTCAAAAAAAAAGGACAAAAAAAATTAATGAAAACAAGAGCTGTTTTGCCAAAATGCCGAAACAGCTAAATGGGAGTGTAATTAAGAGAGCAAACATTGCTTTAGGGAGTGGCCTAAAATTATGAGAGACAACTACACCCTAATATTACATGAACACAACACGAGCAATGTATTACAGAGACAAACAAGTGCACAGACAGTTCTGGGGGAGGGGGAATGATCCAGCTGGTAAATAATAGAAGTGAAATGAAGAAGTAATATATGAATACAAATACAAAACCTCACACTATGGAAGTACAATAAGCTTTGGCTTTTTTTATACCCAAGCGTAATCCATTCCAATGTAGTGGCACAGAGTGCTTAATGCTATGAAGGCAGATACCCCATACTTAGAGATGTGCAGAAGTAATGGTGACCTGGTATTGTACGTATGTTTATTATAATTTGGTTGAAACGTGCTGACAAAATGTTCATAGAGTTTATGTAGATAAGGGTGTATGGAGTCAAGTATAAAACTGGTGTCTTAGTTGGTAATATGCAAACTCTCCTAAATATGAAGCAACTTGGCATCACGCATGCAGTGTAATGAAAACACACAAGGCTAAACATGCATAGTGCACTGGTTCTTACTGTTAAAATAGTGAGAATGACACAGAATAGCCCGGGCCAATGACATCTGCGACAGTAACATGCATTCCAAACTTCAACATCCTAAAACCATAAAAGAATCAGAAACTATGGAGATATTTCTGTGAATCGGTTCACAAAATTAGATTTTGTTTATGTATACATACATGTAGGTACATGTATGTGTCAACTGTATGTATTCATTTCGAGGTCTCAGTGCATGTACATAGATTTCAGTGGTGTAGTGATGGCTGGTCCATTGTAGATGTTTCATTCCAGCTGAGGTACTGCTATGCAGTGCCAAAAATCTTCCAGCAAGCAATCCAGGCTAATGCATAAAACAAGCCAGCTTTGTGATCTCTGCCCAAATCCATGTGAAACAGGCCCCTGATTGAGTAAATTCTTGGTTCCCAATTTGAACCAAAAAAAGTTCAACTGCATCATCAAATGAAAAACAGTGCCTCAGTTGTCCAGGAAAGCATGGTTAATTTCAAATGTTTTTAAAAGGTGCACTTTTTAAATGTATTTAACCTAATTAGGGGTAAATAAATTTTCATACATTAGAGAAGAAGTATACAGTTGCCAAAAAACTATTTTAAGGAAAAATTCATAGCTTCTACACTTTACACATTGGTCTGTGAAGATTACAAAATGAAGGAAGCATCACTTGATAGCAACTTTATCAAGGTATCATTGTATGAGACACATTGTCCATGTATATAAAGCATTATGTAGTTTCAAGTTAATTTTCACTTGAAATCATTCCAAAATTGCCTTTTAGAAGAAAGTGAATACTCAAAATTATATTTAAAAATCATGATGGCGTAGTTATGATTTCATGTCATGTTTGTAATGGTACCGAAATTCCTTGTTAACCACTTCCAGCCGGGGGCTCCGGTACTGGAGCCATAGGCCTTATATTCGTGGCTGGGGACTCCGAAATCGGAACTTTACCATAAAAAAGAAAAAAGTTGCTGGGCATTTCTTAAAAAGTTGGGGGCTGTCAGTGAAAAAGTTTAGGCCATCATTGGCCGGTGAATAAATTGGTCTAAGGCAATAATGGGTTGCTGGGGCCGGTGAATTGTGACTTTATTTTATAGCCGGGGTGACCGAACTTATAAAAGTGTGGAATAAAAGTACAAGCTGCTGAGAGCTGCCGGGCACTGCCAATCAATCCCTGTATTCTTTCAGCGCAGAGCGCTGCTATTAGTGGAGGTAATCCGTGTATTGCTTGTGCAGAGCGCATTTGTTCGCGCTGCCGGGCGCTCGCAGGGGATTATCGCTGCACTGCACTAAAGACAAAGCGCGGGCTGTGCGGGCTCATTATGCACCTGCGCCCCATGAATGACCCGGCCCGGGCGCTGCTGGACCTTGCCATGTTGACTGACAGGGCACGGCCCTTGCTGCTTGAGAATAAAATCGCCGTGCAGTAGCTACATTTGTGCATATTGGGTATCGTGTTATTTAGAGCACAGACAACATGGCGGAAGTTATATCTGGAGAGTCCAATTCTTCTAGTGAAAGCGAGTTTTATCTGAGTTCAGACGAAGGTTCTTCGTCTTCTTCATCACCGCCGTCACCTGCTCAAGTACAGTCAAGTACAGAAATTGACAGTGATGTACCCTTGGCTGTATATGCCAAGCGCAAGAGACAGTCCCGTACACAGACCGCCGCATCGACCAGCAGCAGTGCCGCACCGTTTCGACAAGCCCTTGCCTGAGTACCGCCCTCAGCACGATACTCCACCAGTCACCAACTTTGTCGGCCGACACTTCCCCGTGGACTTTGAGAGGACCAGCTATGGCGATTTCCGCTACCGGCGGTGTGTCCTCTGCGTATCCCGTGGTCTGCAAAAGAAGACACACTTCGAGTGTGATACGTGCCACCAGCCCCTCTGCGTCGCCCCCTGCTTCAAGGAGTACCATATTGTCCACTAATTGACACTTTGAACATTTATTTTCATGGACATTTTCATTGACATTATATTTTGTGTTTTTCATGTGTTTTGACTTGATGCCCCACTTATCTAGTGTAAAACAATATGTCATTTACTGGTGGTTTTAGGAGTTGTCATAGTTTCAACCTTTGAAAAAAATGAGGAAAAAGACAAAGTTTCTGGAAAGTACTGCTTTGAGGATGTTGTATTTTCATCTTTTGAAAAAGTGGCTCATTTCCTGGTCATGGTTTTACTTGGTGGTCATTTTTTCAGCCTTTGAAAAAAATAACAAAAAGACAAAGTTTCTGAAAAGTACTGCTTTGAGGATGTGGTATTTTCATCTCTTGAAAAAGTGGCACATTTCCTTGTAATGGTTTTACTAGGTGGTCATGTTTTCAGCCTTTGAAAAAAAAAGACAAAAAAGACAAAGTTTTTGGAAAGTACTGCTTTGAGGATGTTGTATTTTCATCTCTTGAAAAAGTGGCACATTTCCTTGTCATGGTTTTACTAGGTGGTCATGTTTTCAGCCTTTGAAAAAAAAGACAAAGTTTCTGAAAAGTACTGCTTTGAGGATGTTGTATTTTCATTTCTTGAAAAAGTGGCACATTTCCTTGTAATGGTTTTACTAGGTGGTCATGTTTTCAACCTTTGAAAAAAAAGACAAAAAAGACAAAGTTTTTGGAAAGTACTGCTTTGAGGATGCTGTATTTTCATTTCTTGAAAAAGTGGCACATTTCCTTGTAATGGNCTCATGTTTTCAACCTTTGAAAAAAAATGACCAAAAAAGACAAAGTTTCTGGAAAGTACTTGTTTATTCCTTACAACGGTGTTTGCTTTTTATTTGATTAGAAAGAGTGGAAATTTATTTTACTACTTTTATGAGTTCAACTATTTCAATGAGAAATGAAAAGAAAACACAAGAGAAATGACAAGAAGAAAATATGAGAAAAAGAAGTTCTCTCCAAATATTTGTCTGTGTGTATTTCTATGTGTACTTTATTTTATTGGTTTCTAAATTTTACTTGAAATTGTTGGGGAAATAAAGTTTGGGAAGGGAAATATCTTACACTATGGGAGGGAAAATGAAAAAGTTGGGAAATAAAATATGAGAGTGGTTTGGGGGGATATAAGTTTGGTAGATGGGAAAATATATAACAGAAAAAAACCCCAACAGCTTCAAAAAATAGCGAAAGTTACATGGAGCAGCGCCACGAAAAAGCCACACTTTAAAACCCCTTCTTTTACAGCATGAATTCATTTGTCCGTCATTGCCCACACTCATTGAACAGTTGACAAAGCCCAGTGCACGTGCACAGCTTCCCATTCACTCACCGCATATTACACGCTGAGGTCTTGACCGTCAATCGCTCCGCATAGCAACACAGCAGCATAGCAACGCACTGGGCCAAGGTCCGGAACAAACGAGCCCTTATGTAACACACACAATTGGGGCTCCATACAGAGCGGGCGGTGTGGCTGCAAAACCAAAGGGTCAATGGAAGTTGCTTGTGAGGACTAGACTCGCCACGGGACACCCATTTTATGGGGTTTAGGCGTTCAGAAAAAAAATATGAATTTTTGAAGATTTTTGAAAAAAAAAGTCCTTCGTGTGGGTGTAAGTGTCCAATTAATGAAGATATGAATTTTGAAAACAGAAACAAATGAAAAATCTCCCTTCTCAACAGAATCAACATTCATAAATGCCTCCGGCGCAATGTGGTTAATGACATCAGGAAATCTCAGTATTTTCTCAGCATTTTCTGCGCATGTACCTGTATATCTTTGATAATTAAGGTCTTGCAAATATTCTTTGTATTGTTCAGGAAACTGGTCAAAATAATAACAAATAAACTGATTTATTCCAGGATCACACTGTAACGTTCACTTTAACATATTTATGTGTTTGCTTTTTCATCGTATAATTCAGGTTGCTGTACCATTCACAATTGAGCATCCTAGCATCAACACATCTATTGATACTGTCTTCCACTGTAGTCAAACAAATGGAATTGCTTCATCTGAGAGTCTACTTCAGATTCCAGTAAGTCATCAATCCCATGGGTTCATGATGAACTAGTCATTATTCTGCTTCATCGGAATAAGGGAGTGAGGGCATGAAAGTAGTTTTGGGGGAAGAGGGTTGCATAGTTTCGTGAAGAATGAAAGACAGAAAATAGAAGGTATTTATACAAAATGGTAGTTGTGTGCTTGGCCTGAAGTCACACAAGCCATTCAGAAAACAAGTGAATTGTTCCCTATATGAAACACTGTGGGGTTGATGCATAATTTCATAGTCTGTTTCCCAATTAAGCTTCCGCAGCTGCTCCCTTGGCCATTCTCAGCAAGTTTGACTCCTACCATATGTATCTTAAACCTGATATATGACTATTACTGACCTAATTGTCTTTAGGCACCCTTAGGCATGTACATTGTAGCAATGGGTCTGTATTTCGTGAGTGAAGATTTCACTCGTCATCAGCACCACTGTATTCTGTCCAACATGGCGCAGTATGTGCTTCACACATCACTTTTTGTGCCAGAAGATTTTAGTATTTTGTGTAGAACTTAGCTCATGCTCATACCAGACATGTGCTTAAAGGGCATTTTGGAAAATGCAAGGTAAAAATGATGATACCAAATGACTGGGAAAAAGTTTTGACTTTGAATTTGCTAGTCTCCTGCGTTCACATACCCCTGTCCAGCCAACATATTCAAATTTCCCATGTGCCTATTACAATTCGCTGAAAAGACTTGATTATGCATGCTGCCCCTTGACCCTCCACAATGCACTGCGGTCCCACCACCATGTTCGTCCTTCTTTTCTCAGCGCCTATCGTTCATGGACGTGTCTTTTATGACATTTTTGGATTCTCGAGTTCCGTACCTTTCGTGTTTGTGAATTGAATTGAATCCTGTTTCGAAATAAAGAGTGATTTCTTATCTCTTGGTAAGAATGTTTATTCTCATATTTTGTTCTTTGCATGCTGTGTTTTTCTTGTGGTTCTTTTCTGCCCCTTTTTTCTGTGCATCATATACAGGTTGAGATGTGACCTACTGTTAGGTGTGATGTGGGTATGGCCGTTGAACAGGGTTGGAGGGCCCTTTCTTCGTTATGTGGTGCATGCATTCGAATAATAATGGCCCAAAACAGTATGGGTCTGGCAGCGGAGCGGGCTTGGTGGACTGCCCCGCTCCCTTTGTGGTGCAGTTGTGCGTAATCCAATTAGCGGCCTCGACGAGGAGAGACCCTGAATAGGCCGGGGTTGAGTGGAGGTACCACAACACACCCCGGACTTTTATCGACAAGATCAGGCTGAAGCGGAGGCACCGCAACATGCCTAGATCGCTAATAACCTCCATAGATCACGTTGAGTGGAGGTACCGCAATATGTCTAGATCTCTGATGACCACTACCAGGTTTGATTGGGCTGAGAGAGCGGTACCCTAACAATGCCTGTGATCACTGATGACTACCATCCACCTACCCACCAGGTCGAGCATGCTGGTCTACTACCCGTGGTTATCAATGCCCACTCTACACCTATTGATCGGGTTGAGCGGATTTACTGCAACAATACCCTTGATCATGATTGTCTGGGAGTAATGAGCCATTCCTTTCTCTATGCCGCAGGTCCAGGCATCGCTATCAACCACAACCTGGACAACCCTACAGACCAGTAGCTCAGCGGGGCCCACGGGGCGACAGCCTGCCGTCTGCCCTGGGCAGGCGATACCCGCTCGGAATTCGGGCCAGTCAATTCCCTCCCAGCAGGCAACGGGCTTCAAAGTGGGATCGCCATGTTCCACCGCTGCTGTCATGGGCAAGTCAGCAACTCAGCATGTTCCCCAGCCCCCCCGTTGCCTCAGACGATGGTACCCCTTCTGGACTGCTATGCTGCTGGGGCTTCCGTCCAACACACCTCATCCGTAGCTCCAAGCTGCCGTTGGACTCCGGTCATGAGCCCGCCAATCCGATCTCAGACGCTCCTCGCAGGAGACGACGGACCTCTCGGGGGATCCTCACTGGGTCCTTCCTCTGACTGTACTGGCCTCCAGCTCCCCTGCTCTGGCGAAGACTAAGAAGTACAAGGCCATCCTCATCGGTTTCTTCATCCAAGGCCAAGAAGAGGTGCCACTCCAAGCCGGATCCACCTCCATGGATGGCATCCCACCAGTCTCTCTCGGAGGCCTTCTCTTCGCTCACCTGAAAGATAGACTCTCATCCTCAGCCAGCGGCGACGGCGCCTGACCCGGACCCTCTCCCGGTCATCCCGCCTCCCACCCAGGGGCCCTTTTCAGACTCCGAGGCAACTTGTATCCTCCCCCTTCTATCGTCCGGAATGGTCTTCTGCTCTGGGATGGTCTTCCGCGACATGTCCAAGCGCCTGGCTCTGGGGAGGAGATAACTGCGTTGCTATGCAAATGAGCTATCACACAGGTGCATCCAAACCAGCTATCCACTGGCTTCCTTTCGTCATTCTTCCTGACAACCAAGAAAGAACCAGGAAAGTGGCAACCAATAATCACTCTGAAACCGCTCAACAAGTTCATGAAGCCAAGACGCTTTCGAATGGAGACCCTGAATGTGGTCCTACCCACTCTACCAGTCCCCGTGTTGGACCACCTTTATAGACCTACCGGACACGTATCTCCATATCCTGATACACAAACAGCACCGCAAGTTCCTCCGCTTCAAGTACTGCGGCCAAATCTTCCAGTTTCCAGCTCTTCCTTTCGGCCTCTCAACCTCGCAAGGGTCTTTAACAAATTGCCAAGACTCTCGCTGCCTACTTGCAACAGCGCGACATCCTTATCTTCAATATATGGACAACTGGTTGATTGTCGGTCGCCTCCCGGACAAAGCAAGAGCCATCACTTCTCTCACCCTCGACGTCGCGACACGCCTAGGGTTCCTCATCAACTACGACAAGTCAGCTCTTGATCCATCACAATGGCTAACCTACCTAGGGGCGGCCCTCGACCTCCTCAAATGCATTGCGGCTCCGACACCGGAATGCATCCTCAATCTGCAGCAATGCGCCCTTCAGTTTTTGCGGTCTGAGGCACCTCTGGCGCTAGCCTGGCTCCGTCTTCTTGGACTAATGGCCAGTTTGATCGACCTCGTCCCATGGTGGCGACGTGCCCACTTTAACTACATCTCCTATCTTGGTACCGCCCCAAGAGCGATTTCTACCTGGTCCCTCTTCCGCCGAATGTTCACAACCACCTCCGGTGGGGGACCATCAACGAGCACCTGTTGACAGGCTGTCCCTTCATTCCACTGAGACCGAACGTCACGATGACAACGGATGTGTCGCTATTTGGATGGTGGGCCTCCCTTCTTCCGCTCTGTGCATCCGGGGTTTGAGACTCTTCCTTCCGCAACAAACACATCATCCTGCTGGAATTTCAGGCAGTATTCGACACCCTTCGCCCCTTCCAGCAACACTTAGAGCATCCAGAGCAACAACTCCACACAGTGGTAGCGTACATCAACCACCTCGGCGGTACGCGCTCCCCTCCAGCTTTGCGTCCTTACAAGGCAGATCTTCATGTGGGCGATCGATCACGGGATCATCCTGCAAGCTGTTCACATAGCAGGAACAACCAACAGCATAGCAGACACTTTCATTTGAGCGTCAGTCAGATCTTCGCGAAGATCAAGCGTCCCCACGTTGACCTCTTCCCATTGACCGACAATACTCATCTCCTGATATTTTGCGCATTCTTGCCTTTCCCCCTTCAAGCCGCTTACCGGTGCATTTGATGTCCATCTCAGCATCAAACTGGCATTCCTACTGGCGGTCGTTACCTTCAGACGCGGCAGCGAACTACATGCGCTGTCAACTGCTGAAGGTCACATCCGCTGGGAAACGCATGGGGTTCACCTTATCCCAGCCATTGAGTTCCTGACAAAGAACCAGACGCCTGCCTTCCGGCCTCTGAACATATTTGTCCCTGACATAACCTCTCTTTCGGGAGATAACTCTGACAAGAAATGGTGTCCACTTCGTACTCTCGAGTGGTACCTCGCCAGAACCAAGCACCGCCGGGAACCTGGTTCCAGACTCTTCATCACAACCACAAAGCTTTTTCATCCAGCGCGAAGGACACTATTGCCCGATGGATAGTCTCGGCCATTATCTTCGTGAACCAAGACGGGCCTACTCAGCATGACAAGGCGACTTGTTCTCATGTCAGAGCCCATGATGTTCGGGCCGCCTCTGCGTCCACATCAAACAATGAATTCTTCATCGTAGATACCTCTTTCTCTGGTGAGTGTTCGTTTGGGCGATGCCCGACTATGCTCTCTAGTAACTACTCTCCTCTCGCCGACCCTCCTCCAGGGTACAGTGCCACCCTGCATATGTAGGCTGGACAGGGGTATGTGAATGCAGGAAACTCGTCCCCCACATTAGTGTGGGTCAGGTCTCCTAATGATACTTACCCTGTTCAGCCACTCCCGCCCGTCCTTCCCCCCTTTGCCTTCGGGAATTTCTCCACTTTGAAAAGAAGGACGAACATGGCAGCGGGACCGCAGTGCATTGTGGAATGTCAAAGGGCAGCATGCATAATCAAGTCTTTTCAGCTAATTGTAATAGGCACATGGGAAATTTGCATATGTAGGCTTGACAGGGGTAAGTATCACTAGGAGACCCGACCCACACCAATGTGGGGGAGGAGTTTAATTGATGGGAACATTTTCAGCAAAGACATATTTAAGGTTGCTGTTTTATTTTTGAAACTCTGTAAAATGACAAGAGAAATCTACCTGTTTTACCAAGGTGAAGTTTCAGCCACAGAATGTCAATGAGGAGAGTGTGGATTATCTTCATGTACATGCCATTGACAAAGTCAGCAAGACGGTGGTTAAGCTGGTTGGAAGATGTTCAGGTAATTATTGATTAATTTTGCAATTTTAGTGATGATCTGTATACATTTATTGCAATGAAAGCTTTTTGATGAAGTCATCTTCACATCAAAAAACATCTGTTCTTTTACAGGACCACAAGTTAGCCTAGGAAGCAAGATTTTGAACTACGGTCTGATTAGCACTGGCCAATCAGGAGCAAGGAGTGTGGACGTTATCAATACGTCCAGTGTAGCAGCAGTATTTCAGGTAACTATCATGCAATCGCGTTCCTTTTGCAATAGCAAAATTAATTAATATCTGTGATTCTTTTGTATGGTAAAGATGTACTTGTGCTAAGGGCATATGCTCCTGCTTAGGCGGCTTTCCAATTGGTCCTAACTATTTTTACGCATAAAGTCTGCGTTCTTATCAACAAGTTCGGCATTGCAAAGGACAGTGGAATGTCACTGAAGGTATGGCCAAGCGCACTGAGGCATATCATAGTTCAATGAGCAAGCTCGTGTGGGACCTATATTACGAATAAACATCAGACAGGAAATCTAATCTGAATACGGCATTCTGTTTGTTGACTAGACATACTGAAGTAACCTATCGTTGTCCAAGTCGCGAAATTGTACTTTGAGATTTCTGCCTCATTTTTCTTCAACGATGATGGTCAGCACTCAACATGTTGAGGTTTTTTTGGCATTGCCATAAAATATATGACTTCATCCCTGTTTATGACGGGATGTAGATGTTTTTATACAAATTTGAAGAATGAGTTTTATTTGTGTTTTATATCGGTTAGTGTTACAGAAAGGAGAGCCCTAGAGGTGGGCCCAATATCACAGAGGTGCTTAAAAAACATCGCAAATGTAAATATTTGATGTCGAGACAAGTACACTGCCGTGAATCCGCTAAAGTTGACCACGATTGAACTTCTGCCAATTTCACAAAAAGTTTCGTAACAACAAGCACACATCAAATTTCCATCAATTATCAGCCGGTCATTCATACTTGGCACGTAAGCAAGCGAACACTGATTTGTGAGTCATAGAAACTTTTCCTGCGAACATTTGACAACTCTGGCAAGATGGATTTTGCAGGCAATTTTGACCAGACCAACTAACTCAACCAAGCGCAACCCAACCCAACCAAACATCCCAGACACCTGCAACGACCCTGACAACCCCCAAAAACCCAACAACCCCGAAGAACCCGAGCGACCCCCCTGGCAACCTCAAGCAAACCAAGCAACCCAAACATCCCAACAACCCTAAATAACCCAAGCAACCCCAACAACCCTAAACAGCTGCAACAACCTTAAACAAACAAAACAATCCAAGCAACCCTAACAAACCCAAGCAACGCCACACACCCCTGACAACCCAAATAATTCAAGTGATCCCAAACATCCCAACAATCCCAAATAACCCAAGCAACCCCAACAACCCTAAACAGCTGCAACAACCTTAAACAAACCAAACAATCCAAGCAACCCTAACAAACCCAAGCAACGCCACACACCCCTGACAACCCAAACAATCCAAGTTATCCCAACAATCCCAACAATCCCAACAACCCCAAACAGCCGCAACAACCCTAAACAACCAAGCAATTCAAGCAACCCCAAAGAACCCCAACAACTCCAAGCAACCCCAAGCGAATCCCAACAACCACGGCAATCCCAACAACCCCCAAACAACCCCAACAACCTTAAACAAACCAAGCAATCCCACAGAACCCAACAACTCCAAGCAACCCCAAGCAACCGTAACAACCCCATCGACCCAGCCACCCCAACAATCAAACAACCAAAACTTATATAAACTTTGTGGTAAAACTTTGCTGGGTTTGTGTGTATTCACAAAATGCGGTAACACAATAACACCACATACTTTATACCCATGGAGATGCAAGTGATCCCCACAAATGAGCTTGTTCACCATTATGAAAAGATGGCATCCCAAGATGAGGATAGAAACCTTCCTCCAAGTGGCACTCATGTAGAAATGATCTGGAAGTACTCTTCAACCAAAATGACCAGATCACCACTCCAAGGTAAAAAAATCTATTCTTGTAAAATTATAAATATTAGTTAATCAAAATACATCATTATAATTTTGACATGTTTATCAATTAGTATGTGAAAACTACTTATTACCTTGAAACAGAACCTTGTTCATAACATCTCTTGTTATCTTAGTAGTTACAATGCCAAATAAAAAAAATTGGTTTGAATCATTCATGGTAGGTCGGTTTTCTTTTCAATACTATGCTCAAATGTGTGAATTATGACAGTAAATTATCTCTTTGGATGCTGGTAAACGAGTTTGTCAGTGTACGAGTTGGCTTGTGTCTACATGTATACCGATTGTGCTGTTTACCATCAATAAGTAGTATTAATAAGCGTCAACAAGCCTCACCAACTAGAATATACCCTCTAAAGATTTAAAAGTGGTTTTTATCATATTTATAGACTCTGACATTTGCCACTGTGTAAGAGAAACATCAAATTTGTTTCCATGTTCTCGCAGAAAAACAAACAGTTTTCTTGATGTAAGGTGATCGCCCTCTTTTTTTCTCTGCTGCCCACACGAAAACAAGATGGTGGCCTGTCAGGCTGCACAAGTAGGCCCGACTTTGCTGCTCAAATTCCCATAATGAAATATTATTTTTGATAAATGTGATGCATTGAAAATGATATTTAGGAACCTAATTAATATTGTTTATGTTAAAATTTGTGCATATATGTGCTTGAATGACTTGTTCACACTTTGTTGATGCTCGTTGATGTGAGCATGACCGGTATATACATGTACGAGTTGGTTTGTGTATGAGTTGACCAAACTGCATGCAAATTAGTCGGCGTACGAGTTGGCATACTTATGAGTTGACCTGTCAGTCTACTTTTTAACCATCCCAAATTCATGAGATAAATGCCAGCTGCTTTTTTTTCACCATGCTACATTCCCACAGTGCTCTTCTAGGTTTTTTCACAACACACATACATGTAAACTACTGTTGTTCCTTTGTGAAGTTGTCGATACCAATCAGCAAAGAAAGTGAATATGTCCTCATCTGATAAATAACCCTCAGTAAAGCAGCATAAGGGTGGTAGGCCTGCAGTTGATAAGCTCTTCTCAGAAATCATGGAGAGGGCAAGAAGACTCTTAGAGGAAAATGAGCTTGAAGCTCATAGATTACAAGAGACCAAGAGACTGCTGTACAACACTTGCCATCATAAGTGATCACCTCTTCAAAGCGACACCAGGGTTGGCTTAGCTAAACAGCAATTTAGGGTTTTGTACATTTTTTTTTTATTTTGCCCTTTATCTTTTTGTTTTATTATAACCTTATTTATAATTGTTTACAATGCTGTTGTACTTCTTAAATGTCAGCCTCTACTCTGAAACCCTACCTGTCACTCCATGATTTATTGTCAGGTGCAAATTCAAAGTCACGCTTTTTTGATCACCGTTTATAGAGTGCATTCTGAGTAAGAGTGCATATACATGGTCATGTATTTGGAAATTTCCAGACAACTTCTCCAACTTTTTTGCAAATCCTCTTAACCGTCCATTAAACATAATGGTCACAAGTCTGTAAAAGGAAGAAAAATTATTATTTTAAATATTGGGCTAATTAGACTCTAAAATTCAGTTGTATGCAAATTAAAACAAAATTGAAATCATAAAATATTTGCAACAAAATTCACTCATGTTGAAATGTTTTCAACCTTTGCAAATTCGCAGAACACATATTTGATCTGACATTACAGTTTTGCTTTCACTTCAAGACTCGGTATGAACTGACCTTGATGCAAAACATGGTAAAATGTTATTTTGGCTGAAATTGTTTTCTTTTGTGTACATTCAGGTCTCAACACCATCCATTGTTGGATGGGGCCATCAATATGCCAAGAACTTCAAGGGACTGATTGAAGCAAGAGTTCTCCAAATTGAAACAAAAAGCGCAAAGAAAACTTGGACAAGCATTATTACTCATCTCAAGTAAAATATGCCATGAAGCCTGCAGCAAGTTTTCAGAAACTTCAGTGATGTTTTCAGTCGACAATGTAAACAATCTTCCTGTTATGGTTCTGAGGCACAGGCACAGGAGGTGCAGGGTTACAAGGTTATTTCCAACAAGTGACGGCCCAATCTAAATTACCACTAGTTCCCCACACTAAGTATTCCAGCAGGTTATGTGACAAATAAGGGGACAGGAAGGGAGACATTGAACTTGGTACATGTAATAAATCCTGACTCGCTTCAAAAAGTCCAATCACATGTCTAGAAATTTGGCTGCCTTGTGTAATAATCTGATTAACTGATCGTGTTTGGAATAGTTTTGAATGTGTGAGATGACAATGAACAGTTTCACAGATAATCATTCCTTTTGAGTAACAAGTAATCATTGAGGAGGATGCATGTTGCTGTTATTTGATATAACTGAATCCGCCTCAGATTCACTTATGATTTCAAATGCCCGACAGTGTTGTACATTGCAAACAGTGGGCAAACATTGCATGTACCTGATGCACATGACTGTAGCAGTCATTTGGCCTGAGATAAACACTGCAATAATGCGTTAAAATTGATTCGTACTTGGACCAGCCTTTAATTGAGATTACAGATATGTACGTACAATTGGCACTAATTGCATTGCTACCGCCACATGGTTCAAACTTGAAAATGTATTGGCATTTTGGGGGTCCATGCAGTTTGGGGGGGCAGACAGTTAATTTGGTACAAAAAATGTAACCATCAGTAAGGCCTGCTATTCCAGTTGCCGGCCAGCTGGGCTTCGCTGGTAGATTGGATATTTTTTAGAGCCAAGCCATCAATATAGCTGGCTGTTCTGATCGTGGACTGGCCAGACTTGGGAATGTACATTGATGTTAAAGTGAGGTGAGCCATCAGTGACACAGAGTGCTCTAAACGCGGACTGGCTGGACTTTAGAGTGTTTATTGATGTTAAATGAGGCAAGTCATCAATGAAGCTGACCGCTCAGATCGTGGACTGACCCAAGTATGCATCCTTCCACAGATTGTTTGCCGTAGATTGTTGATGTTGTCAGGTGTGATTTCGAGGAAGATTAAAAAATCTCACGAATTCAAGCTGACTTATCACAGAGTACACACTTAGAAGCTTGGTAAGCCGCCTTACCATAACCTAATGTAAAGGAATCACAGAGATGGAATAATGATCAGGAAATATAATTTTGGACTTTTGTTGGAAGGTCATTCTTCATTGATTTTTTA